TCGGTCCTTTCTTAGGCACCTACGTCCTCTTTCTTAGCCTCTCTTACTAAGGAGTTCAATCCACTATTAGATGAAGATTACAACCAAGCTTTCACAAAGCTTTACAAAATCAACAACATACACTTTTAAGGGTTATCCTCCCCCTTAAGCTTACAAACTCACAATACAAAAATTTAGAAGTGTTTGGCAAACTTTAAGAACCTCACAAAGGTTAGGTGTTTGCTAAGTTAAAGTACACAAAGGTATAGATAAAAAAGAAGAGAAAAATTGATATGAGTTTTGTACTTTTTCTCTTTTTACAACTTTGAATACTTGAGCAGATTGGTAGGTGAATAGCAATAAGTTTCTTGACTTTTGTTTCTATTAGTCTGCAGTGGAATGCTTGATTTATTATTAGAAAAAAGTTGAGAGCCGTTGGAATGCATTTAATGTTTTAAACCTGTAAAAATTTCAGCGAAAAAAATAGCCGTTGGGAGTTTTTGACCTTCAGGGAATCGATCCCCTCCCTTAGGAGATCGATTGGTTCATGTTTGAGAAAGCCCAATTTTGTGTCTATTTTGCCTTACCTGATCGATTCCTTGCTTTAGAGGATTGATTTTTTTTTTAGGTGATCGATCTCTTATGTGGGGGGATCGATCCCTTTTCTAGGTTTCAACATTTAGGGAGCTTTCTGTTTGAACAACCGATCGATCCCTTGCCTTAGGTGATCGATCCCTTATGTAGGGGATCGATCCCTTATGTAGGGGATCAATCCCTTTTCTAAAAAATTTCATGAAGAAAACATTATATATAAAAATGTGATTGATCCCTTGAATGAAGGGATCGATCTGTTCAGCTTGAAACCCCAACTAATCGATCCCTACAAGGAAGGGATCGATCAATTTTTGTCAAATCTTGAGAACTTTCGGTTCTGGTTGAAAATAGGATCGATCCTTTTTACTAAAGGATCGATCTGGTAAAGGACAGGATCGATCAATTTTTGTCAAATCTTGAGAACTTTCGGTTCTGGTTGAAAATAGGATCGATTCTTTTTACTAAAGGATCGATCTGGTAAAGGACAGGATCGATCCCTTCTATCAAAACTTGTATAAATCATGTTTTGTTCCAAGAATTTGAGTTGTTTTGGTTCTCAAATGAATTTTGGCAAAATAGAAAGGTGAAAAAATGTTCAATTTAAGCTTAGACAAGATTGAAACAAGTTTGGCAAATTTTTATTTTGTCAAATCAAAACTCTTAATCAATTCAAGACCTACAAAGCCTTAGCTCAGTAATGAGCTTGACTCAACATTGAGCTCATCTCAATGAAATTGCATTTATAAAGACTCAACTTGGCAAAATGTTCTTGATAAAGGCTTAACTTGGCAAAGTTATAAAACCTTAGCTCAACAAAAGAACTCATTTTGACCTAATTACTCAGCCCAATAAAAGAGATCACTATAACAAAAGTTGCCTTCCAAAGAGCTAACCTTGGTACATTTTCTTTCAATAAAGCTTCGCTCAGCAAAATTGTCTTCATAAGAGTTCAACTTTGTATAGGTCATTTAGGTATAAATTAACCTCGACGAAGATCATCTTTGCATAAATACACCTAAATATACATCACTTTGGTCTAAATCCACATTTGCGTAAAATGAAGAGTGAACAATAAGCTCAAGCATAAATAACACAATATCATAATTCACCTTTATACAGATTCACCTCAGTGAAAATCACATCGACATAGATTAACCTCAATGTAAGTCATCTCGGTGATGAGGCTTTTGGTGAAATTTGGGGCCAAAAGGTGACTACTAATGATAATTAAGTGCTAACTTTGACTGTTGACTAAGGGTAATTTTGGCTTTTTCACTTTTTTTATTTTATTTATTTATTTGTTTAAACTAAGGATTTTTTTTAATAAAAGTTGGAAATTAAATTCATAGATTCCTACCAAACTATAAAAGGATTTTTATGGATTCAAAAATATTTCTAAATTAATCATACCAAATTATTGTAATACTTAAATCTTAAAATTAATTTTTGCCAAATTATTAAAAGGTTCAATGATTTTTTAAGAATTAATTAAAATTTTTAAAAGTAATCCTACAAAATTATTAGAGGATTTAAATCTTAAAATTAAATCTTACTAAACTAATAGAAAGTTTAATGACTTTTTTAAAGCTTTATGAAAATTTAGTTCTATCAAACTATTAGAGAATTTAAATTTTAAAATAAGATCTTATCAAACTATTAAAATTTTTTAAAAATCATAATAAATCTGATGACAAAATCTTTTTGGAGACTAACAATGATCTCTTTGAATACTCTTGAGGTGATAAAATATTCTTAAATTACTACCATATTATTGGAGTAATTTTAAAAATAATTTTTAATATTAAATTATTCGATAAAATTTTTTAAGGCTTTGGATAACATGAAAACTAACTAGTATTAACTCTTTGATTGGCATTGTAAGGGTATTATAACATTTTTTACACATAATTATACTCTCAAATCTTGTTTTGTTTCATGGATCAAAACATATTCTTTCTAAAGAACTTGAGTTAAGTTTAAGACCTCTTTAAAAAAAAATATTCAATTAAGTACTCAATCACACTTAAATAAAAATTATTAGTGACAACTCCTAATTGTGTATAATAATCAAGTTTACAAAATTTTATATTATGACAACCTACAACGTACGTTACAACAAAAGTTAGTATACAAAAATGACATATAATGATTTTTTTATGTAAATTACATATTTAGTCACTAACATTTTCAGGATTTTGCTAACCCATCTATTAAAAATTATGATTTGATCACCAACATTTTTTAAAATTTTTTTTGTTAAAAGCTAACGATTGATGTGATATTATCACATTATTTGACATTTGGCATATGATATTATCATGACATTTGACATGCCACATAACATTGTTGATATAGCATTATAGATTTGAAAAAAAAAATTGATATTAAAAAAGTAAAGTATATTTTTTTATCATTTAAACTTTTTGAAAGTTTTTATTTTGATCGTTCAATTATAAGCACCTCACAATTTTGGCGCAAACATTTGTGAAAATTATAAATAGTTTGATCTCAATTGTTAATATCTCATTATCCATGTGATTTTACAACAATTTGATCATCCAACGTATTTGCAAATACATTTTACATTTTTACAACATCAATTAAATTATCAGTTAAAAATATATTTTAATTGAAATGTTGTGCAAATGGGTAGGTTGTGTCGAGACCAAGTTGGACTTCAAAAAGTTTAGTTGTGATTGACCTAACCCATCAAAATCTCTAAATTACATATATTAAATAAATACTAATTAATACATAGACGAATATAGTAAATTAACATTGTTAAATGAATATATAGTAAAAAAGGAAGTTAGTTGTTAATTAGAATGTTTAATCATGTATTAGCACCTTATATCAAGAAATATAAACGCACTGATATAAATAAACCCAATTAAAAATTTTAAATTGCCTTGTTTAGCATCATCATTTCTTTCCTTGGTTTTTTTTTTTTATTTATTGATATTCTCGATTGTTGCTTTTTTATTCTTGAACAATGGTTTGGTCTTTGTTTAGGAATAGAATTGGAGGTTTTTCTGAGTTTGAATCAGCTCTATTTATTTATATGCCCTACATAAATAAATTAAATAAAACAGAGTAATCAACGGATAAAAGCGCACATGAAGAGTCCTGTAAAGTAGCAGACCACTATCATTAGATAAGATATATTTTCTTGACTTCAGTTTTTCGGCTCCTTTTTCCTTTCTTTATGGAAAGATAAAAACACGACGTCTAAGAAAATTATAAGAAAAAAAGAAGCGTAAATCACGTTTTAGATGGAAACTTTTACTTGGGTGCCATTGTTGCCCCGTTTTTAAGTTTGCGTAAATCATGCTTTAGATGAAGACTTTTACTTGGGTGCCATCGTTGCCCTCTTTTTAAGCTTTTCAAGTGGGACGTATATGAATCTGTCTCGTAATCCTTGATGATACAGGAGGCAATTGGATGAGTGACGTGGGGTTTGAGTTGAATTATCTTGGATTCCTATTGTTTCATGTTCAGATTATTTTATATGTAAATTTTTTAAATTTGATATTATAATTATTTGAATTTTAATCGTGAGTTTGAGTTCAAATTATTAAATTTTAAAGTTGAATCAATTTAATTTCAATTTATTTCAAGTTAATTTTTTCAATAGTTTAGAATCGTATAATTTTAAATTTAAATTGTTGATTTTGTTTATTAAATTAAATTAAATCGGATTCAATTTCAGACAAATTAAACAAAATTTTTAAATTCAAATCAATTTTGTTAGTTCTACTCAATAACGTTAGAGTACCCTATGAAATCGAAGTATATGCAGATATATAGTAGCTTGTCTTTGTTTCTAAGGTCTGGTCTACATATATACTACTTGGACAATTTGATTTTGCCAAACGTTTATTTCTGAGTTGAAATATTTGTTAGTGGAATTTCAATATAGGGAAATGAAACAGAAATATTAAGTTTGCAACAACGTTGGAAAATGTTTATTGTAAAAGAAATAGGTTATTTGAAAATTATTAAGAAGGATGCTGTAATTACCTAATTTTTATACTCCTTAAATTGACTTCTCTATTATCAAAATTTTATTAAGGAGAGATATCAAGAGCTTGGAGATTGGCCATGGTAGATAGTAGATGTGTCACCGGTCTGGTTGAATTTGGCCAATTAAAACCATGCTTAGATGTTGATAATCTAAAATACTGTATAATGATATGATATTATATGAATAAGATATGAATAATAAAATTTTAATAATAATTATATATGAATTTAACAAAACAAAAAAACACATTTCATATTTTCATATTAATATATAATTTTAGTATAAAATACAATACAAATATACAAATTTTAATATTTTACATGACATAAATACTTAAATCAACAAATCTAGTCATACCAAACTATCTTAATAAAAGTTTTTGAAAGAAGAAATTTTATGCACACCTTAATTAATGTTATTAATATGAAAAAAATACTATTTATACGTGTACAAACATACTAAAATTGGTAATTATTATCATATATACAATTAGATAAAATCTTCTCAAATCAAAATTTTAATTTGTTAAGATTTTACTATTATGGCCTCTCAAGATGAAGAGCATTGAATGAATGTCAATCTTGTTCTGTAAAATCATCTAAGATGCAGTCGTGAGAGAGGCTTGATTAGGGTACAACTCTTAAATATGGATAGGGTCTTGCAACAATTATTGTTGGTCCCATATCCATTGCTACTTCACATTGTTCATCAGGGTCTTCCAACTTTTTGACATCAATTGGTAGAAGAGAATATCCCACTGGAAAGTAGGGTTCAGAAATACAAAGATAAAAAAAAGGATTCTTCATATAGGAAACGAAGGTAATTTCAATTTCATACAATTAAATCAAAATAAGCTGTTGGCTTTAGTTTTTGCGCCTCTTGGACGAGGAAATATCATGCTCTACGCGCTTGATTTCATCCTTGAACTCCTGCAACGTTGTTCCTCTATATTGTTTTGTCCCTTCAGCATCTATCAAACTTGAAAGATGCTTCAAGCAAGAAAGATACTCGGCCTTTACTTCTCGTGAATCACTCATTAACATTTCAGTCGCAAACTGCATTGACCAAATTTAAAACATTTGACATTCTTTCAACGACATCCATAATTCAATATTAATATTTCTATTTCAAGGATTTCATCAAGGTTCTAATCCAAACATCAAAGAGATTAATCTCTAACTTAGATTCCAAAGTGCTATGCATAGGAGATTATAGACGATATTCAGAACAAAATATATATATATATATATATATAGTACAAAAGGGATAATTGATGTAATTTTCAGGTTTCCAAGCAACAAAAGCGATTCTACTTGTTGAACCTTGAAGCAAAAAATATTAATTTTGCTAGTTGTATCAAAATTGAATGAGAAACTTCTAGTGCGCAAACATAACTATGAACATTTCCTTTGTTTACCCATTCTCCTTTTAGAGCTCTATCTATTTATTCATTTGCATTCCTAATTATTCATTGCATTCCTATTTATTCCTCCAGTTAGTATCGAAAACTTACACATAGATTTAAGAATTTTGCTATTCATATCCGAATTATGGAACTCTTCCACCAATATTTCCTTCATCTAATAAACATAATTGTGAAAGTAACTAAAGAACACAATCTCATATACAATAATCATTTTATAGACTTCCTTTTGGCATCAGGGTGAGAGGGGGCAAGCATCATTGTTTTCTGAATGGGGAGAAAAACTATTAGACATCATCTCTATTCTCTCCTTCAACTCAAAAGGATAAGCGAAAAAAACAATTAGAGAGAGATAGAGGAGCAAAGAGGTTCGGGGGGGGAGGGGGACCCAATGACTAAATGAGATTTAAAAGGAAAACACACACCAGATACGAAAAGAGAGAATAAAATAAAATGAGTAACAAAGATACATATGAGACATATTTGTCAGCCCATGTACCTCTTTGTAGGCAGAAATGCATTCAAAATGTGCATCCTTAGCCTCGGGAGTGGATAACAACTTTTCCTGTATCCCAATACAATCATAGTAACAATTAGTACAATGTTTAAAGGACGATCTGGAATACATGCATAAACTATCAATTGTCACTATATCCAAAACAAAAGGATGAACAAAAAAAAAAATTTGACATCTGGATGTATTTCAATATGATCAAGCATCTCAAATAGGATTCCTTTAGGTGAAGAGAAACATATCTAATATATTTGTCCAAGATATTGAAAGTAAATATATATATATATATACACACACACACATATATATATATATACCAAAATATCGTAGGAGAATCATGATGGTATAGGTTTTCATCTGAGATCAGCATACCTAAACCTAAAAGATAAGGGGAGATTTTTCCTTTTTCTCCTTTTAAAATAGTGATTAGCAGAAGAGGAGATTCAAGCTTAGAACCTCCTTTCCCAGGGAGAGGTGAAACTTGAAATTATGAATACAGCTATGCCTCGACAAGAAGGGGTACTGGGGAATTTTCACAACCAGCTGACAAGGGTTTAGAATACTGGCAATTATGTTGAAATGGCAGGAGAAGGGCCATGCAAATTGAATAGTCACTAATTAGAAAACTATCATAGCAAACTTCATCAATCAGTAACTATTTCTAATAATTAAATGGGTTAGTTACACATTTGGTACCATAACTATTATCAAATTCTCAATTTGGTATCTAAAGCTTAAAAATGTGAAGTTAGATTCTCAAACTTTGCTTCTATTTATCAATATCAATTTGCACATGAGACTACAAAAGCCAATAAGAACAAGACACACATCTAATATGCCAGGCCATTTTTTCTTTTTTATTTCAGTTTTTTTTAAATAAAAGAATTCCATCAAAAAGAAAAACCAAAAAAATTAAAAAAAAAAAAAGTGGAAAAGAAATGGAAGCGCGCGCGCGCGCACACAGAGAAAGAGAAGGGAAAGGCCTTGCTGGACGGTGACTGTCTGCCTCAGCTTAGCAAACTACGCCTCCAATGACTCACCCCTCTCTCTCTCTCCATTTTTCTCTCACTTCCAATTTATTTTCAATTTTTTTTTTTTTTTAATTTAAGAAATAAAAAATTTGCAGCAAAATAAACTCAGAAACAAATAAAACAATGTGGAATATTAGACATGTGTCAAGTTTTTATCAACTATTTGTGGTCATATCTCATTGTTATGGGGAAGTTAGTTTCACGTACAAACTTGAAAATAAAAGCAAAGTTTTGAGTACCTAATTGTGTATTTTTAAACTTTAAGTACCAAATCAAGCATTTAACTATAATCCGGTATCAAATGTGTAACCCTAAAAGGATATATGTAAATTGTACTGAAGCAAGAACTTTCATGAATCATAAACCATTTCAAAGAACATGCAACAAATGCCAAGAACCATAAGCTTAATACTAACCCCTGATTCCAGCAATTCTTTCCTGTTAATCTCCAAAAGCCCTAGTGAATCAAGCGACTGCAACTGCAACCACCACCACAAAAAATTGTCACAAAATGTCCTTGCAAACAAAGAGAATTGTATCATAAGTTAAAAGCAACATATCTTTAACATCTAAATCTTTAGCTCGATGTTGACCTTTTTTTTTCAATTTAACTTTTGATATGACCAGTTCATTAGTTCTCATGACAAGGCAAGAAAATAGAATCAACTATGCCAACTGGTAGCTCATAAAAAAATGTGAACACAAGAATTGATAAAAGCATCCTTTTTTAATCAGTTAGTACATTGGTAATGAAGGAGAAACAAATACAAGAGCAGAAGAATAAATAAGAGATGAAGGTTGGGAAAAATTATTGTATTACTATCAACTCATTCTGGCCATTATCAATCCAAGTATCCAAGCTCGTTAAATAAAAAATGATACTTGACCAAATTGTAAACATTATCATTTTATATCATACTCTCTATCCCATGTTTTTCATCTTGAAAAGTAATTGTTTCCATGGCAGAAAACCTAGTTTTAATATCTACAGTAAATTGACAGCAGAATCTTAAAAATTTCGACAGATAATGTATTATTCACAAGGAATTACCAGTATGATCAACGCTGCATGGCCATCCCTCCCATTTTCTCCAGAAACTCCATAATCTTGCTTCTTGCTTTGTCTTTTCAATTTATTAATAACTTGCCATGCTATCCTATCATGTGAAGGAAATCAATAAGACTTATTTGTAAGAGTCTAAGATATCAAGAGAATGGCAGAGAATAAATTATTACTAACAAAATAACAAATTAACCTAGGTCAATCACCATTAACTAAATGAAAGAATAAAAAGTTGCAGAACATAGGTTCTAGAGCCCTCTGTTTCTTTTTCTCGTATTGAACTAAAGGACAAAATGCAGGCCTAAGGACAAAAAAAGAGGACACATGAAAAAGGCCATAACTAAGCTCAAAAGCTTAAAAGGATAAGAGAATAGGCCCATAACCAACGAAAAGATATTCTTAACAACCATCTTGTTTTTTTTTTTTTTCACCAAGATTTCTGGATTTCTAGTCCTTCCAAAACCCAGCTCTTTTTGCTTCCAAAGATGCAGCATCAAACATATCAGACTGCTTTCTCAATCACAACACTCAAACATCAACCAACTCAACAAGTTAACCAACAGAAATGTATGAGTGCACCCACATTTAATAAAAATTTGGGAATGTAAGTACTATGGACATAGACAAAAACACACACACACAACGTGCATGCACACAAATGCGCAAACCGGACAAATTCAAGATAAGACAGTCCAAAGAAGCATAGGCCATGTTTGGTGCATAGAATGACGGATAAGATAGGATGATAATCATATTATATTATATTTGGTTTGTATCTAAGGAAAGAGATAGGTTTGCAAGGAGGATTAATCATCCTCTTGGTATAAGATGATTCAATCCTCCCAAAATAAAGAGGATTATTTTTAATCCATGAGATTTAACTTACATGTCCTATTATATCCTTAAAAATTACATTAATAATTTAAATTGTATAAACTTTAAGGAAGGATAATTTTGACCAATAAATAAATTATCCTATCCTAATCCTTACACACATCAAACACAAGATAGGATGATATTATTTAATCTAATCCTATTCATAATATCATATTATCTTATCCTATCATAATCTTGTGCACCAAACACATCCATAATATATAACACTGACTTCCTGCTTCAGCCAGTAATACTGGGAAGGAACACCAAAATATAAATAATACAACACCTTGGGATATATTATATTTTAAGTTCTATGGATATTTGACACTTCAATAGAATGACAAAAAAATTGAGACCAACTATACTTCTTCTACTGCACAGAAAAGTCTGCACCAACATAACTGGCCATTGCCCATTAGAGAACTGCTACAATTACCCTTACAGACCACATACCAAGCCAAGCTGTATAAAAAACATTGGAGGAACAACTGGCTACTCACCTTCTAACCTTCAACAGATCAACAATCTTTCCAATGTATCATATTAAAATAACCCCCCTTACAATTCTACATATTTAAACTGATAGAACTTTTCCTCCATGCCTAGCTACAAATCTGAAAGTCTCCATTCCTTGAATTGGATCCTCATTTAAGCAGAAGAACATATCATCTAAACTCCATACAATACTGAACCTCCCAGAAGAAATTAAATTACAACTTCCATAAGAAGACCATCACATCTCAAACACCGAAATAGACATATATTAACAAAAATGTTTACGCAAATGTGGACTTTACAGAAGCACCAACAAATATTTCAACCTCATTGCATCTTAACACTATATAGCTTTAAACCAAAGCCAAACAACCAATGTTTCGAGGAATCCATTTCTTGGATTAGATGCATAAAGTTAGGGAACACTATAAACTGTTAAAACAATGTTCTTTAGTAATGCTAATTACAACACAAAAACAATTGACAATATGAAAGTTACAAAACTGTAGTAACAAACTAACAACTAACAACAAACAACCTTGCTCTGATACCATGTTCAACATCCAACTAAAAACTAAATGGCAATAGGTAGAGACACCCAGTCCACAAATAAGATCATTGAAAACCCCTAAGCTTCCTTATATGTGACAAAACCACTTGACAAGTACAAGCGCAGAATGCTGCAGTAATTGATTACTTGGAATGGCAACACTTCAAACTACAGGTACCAATCATTCACCAGCACAAAACTGAATTTAGTCAAATGTAAACGTGTTATCATCTATGAGAGAATATTTGTAAAGAAACAAGTAGTAGTAGGGAAGGATAACATGCAATCCTAGAAGTCAACAAATGTAAACAACCATAAGTATTCCCACTACAGTGGTCAGCTACAGGGATCATGTGCTTGATTTTGCTCCATATAAGAATATATCTTCGTAAAGAGAAGATACTAGTTTTAGCTTACTTTTCCTTTCCTGTTGATATTTTCTGGGCAGTGCATACAATTGTTTAACAAGAATCATTAGATGTGATGAAACAGCACTAACCTTATTGCATTGTTTAAAAGACCTTTTGCCTTGTCAAGCTCAGCAATGGCATCAGAAACATGCATCCTCCTAAGTTGATTGGAATTAAGCATTACCACCCTAGCAATGTGAAGCATGTTGGCTCCAATCTGTCCATAGAAAAATGAAGGTAATTCCTCTTTAATTTACCCTATTGCTCTTCTCAGTAGACTTTTTTTTTTTTTTCTTCTTTTCTCAATTACTTTATAGAAAATTTCAGGCTAAAATCAGATGAAGACGTAAAATAGGAAAGAAACAAAAATATTTTTGACTCCATTTGTTGACAATGTTTGCACTTGTTCAAAGAACAAACTCAAAAGGCATTATCAAATATTTTAAAATTTAAATAAATTTTGGGACAGATGGAATACTAAAACGATAAGGTTGGTGAATAAATGTCCATACATTGAAGCTTATCTCATAAACATTGATTACAATGGGAGAGTTCCAAATTACTTTTAAAATTTGAAAGGATCATAGAAAACACTGCATCAACCATAAAAAAGGAAAAAAGCAATCTTTGACCTGCACGCAGAATATTTGAGTCATTGATAAAACCCATTCAAGTACAACACTTTTTTGCCAAGTCCATCCACCCCTTTGAAGTTATTTACCAAACTCATCAGGTGTTAAAAACACAAGTCAAAACACTTATTTTGACAGGTTTGGCCCACATTCTTATATAATACATGTTTACTGAACATAAACTCAAAGAAAATATATTTTTAAAGCTCACTTTTAGTGCTGATGTAGCAAAAAAGACAGATGTATCATAAAAAAAAATTTTAAGATGGATGTGCTTCATGAAGAGTTTTCTTTACATGGGTTTTATCATTTGATTCCAGAATATTGTTTCCAATATGCAAGATGACTGACCCTAGAAATAGAACAAAAATGTTAGTCAAAGTGCCAAAATAACAATCCACAAAGGCACTGGTGTACATGTGCATCTTTTATCAACATAGACAACATCTTATTTTTAAGTTCAAAACAAACAAGTCATCGTCTTTAAACTCGACTACGGTATAGCAACAATTACTTAAAATAATTCTTTTCAAATCTCTAAAACTAGAAAAACATAGGAAATCCTTAATTTAGTGATTCATTCCAATTTCCCATTGAATTAGTAATCATTTTTGTTAGAAATTTAATCATACAATGAAAGCACTTCCTTGAATCATAAAAACTGATCAAAATAATATCAAATCTATTTTTTTGATAATTTTTTATCTTGACACATTAAAATAACAAACCTGGATGTGATCTTCGGGAAGTAATGTTTTCCGAGCATCAAGACACCTATGAAGAAAATTGCAGGGAAACTATGATGTCTGGAATCATAGATTACCACAATATTGAAGAAATACTAAACTCGCCTACCTTTCAAGCAGTTCTTGTGCTTCTTTTAAGCTCCCAGATGATTGTAATGTTAAGCCCAACCCTTCTGCAGCAACTACAGTGTCTAATGAGTTCCATCCCTGCAAGAAAAAATAGTAGCAGCCAAAGCAAGTAATAATATCAGAAACATTTGAACCAAGGAATGATAATTAAAGATAATAGCAATGGGATAATGACCACTTGGCTAAATTATTTATGAGAGAAATTCGAAGGCGATTTGGCTCTGGAGACATATTGTTAGGATTCAAACCACTTTGAATTATATTTCATAAGAAACTTGGTAGAAACTTAAACATGTCATGTGCGCTGCACCTTGCAACTGGGATTTAAATAATGTCATAAATAAGATTTTTGTAAAACAGCTCACATCACAGTTTCTTCATTTCTTCAAATAGGCACATTTAGCTCCCTATGCACATTTTTAAGTAATAAACTTGGAGATTAATTTGAGTGCTTCCATAGAAATTACATTTTAGCAAGCCTTGATATCATGTTAGAACAAGTTCATAATAAACTTGTTAGCAGGGAAAAACTACAAACAGAAAAAAAAGTGCTACAGTGAGAAACTGTTGTTTGAGATAGCCAACTCTTGAGAGAGCTAGATGAGAATATATGACCAGATTAAAGTGCCAGAATGAGCAAAAAAGGTCAGCAATAAATGAGCTTGCAAAGTTCATTGGAGCAAATAGAAATGACAAAAAAAATCTAGACTCGAGGATCTTTACACTACCAAAGGTATAAAGAGCAAACAAGCCCCTAGCCCAAGTAAAGCAAGGCACTAATTTCTAACGGATCATGAAAGGTTAATCAACTATGTTACAAGGTGGCAATCAGGGGTGATGACATATCCAAAGAATGGCACTTCTAAATTTGAAATAAGATTTGAACTATTCTGTCCACGTGGCATCCATGGATTGGCATGATTTTCCTTGGTCAACCAATTATACAGAAAAAAAATGAAAGGACAATTACACTTCTTTTTACATTTTTCAACAAAGAATTCTGCATGGACCATAGATGATTATTAAAAGAATAACTAATAAATAAATTACAAACTAAAGAAACCAAGAGACATTCAAGGCAGCAAGGCTTTTTGTTTGCCTTTCTTCTAAGAAAAAATGACACAGGTGTAAAAGGCATGCAACTGATCAATGGCACCAGGCTCGAAGGGAAGCTAGATGCTTCACTTGATCTGTGCAGCACCTTAGCACCTAGGTCTTCGTAAGCATGCAACTTGACAACACTGGCATCACACTTTCGACCTCGGGAAAGAGTGCACAGAATCTCATCCTACTGAGCTACTTGAACCCTAGCTCAACAAGGAGAGACGGAATTGAAGACAGGGAGAACAAAAATTCTCTTGGTATTCTTGTGACAGCAATTTTTCAAACTGACTGCATATCCAAAACGAATTAGCAAAGAACTACTTCCAGTACCAGCCATTGAATCTTCTCAATCATGATAGTCCAAAGAGAAACAGATGAATACCTTACATCCTTCTATTGGATTTTAAGTTCCTATAATTCCAAAAACAAAATATAAATACCCCAAAGGAAAGATTATCTTACACTTTACACTTCACGAATTGGGAAGAATGCAAACAATCTCACCCTACTCGCCTCCTTGAACCCAAGATTGGTAACAAGCACAAACTGATATTCTATCCCTATGAGAGAGCCTTACTTCTCATGTAGTTCATATAAAACCAGGATTGTGAATTCTTTGGGAAAACTCATTGTTTCCAGAAATCTCCACAATCATTCTACACTGATTCTGTTAAACAAAAGCCATAATTAACCCCTAACCAATCTATCTTTCTACCATAACTACAAAGCTTGGATATTTTCTTAACTTAAAAACTTTCCAAAAAGCAACACACAGTTTTACTCAATTCAGTCCTAAATCACACTGATATATGGCTAACACATGAATGACATTGGGATGATTTTTTGTGTCTGGATTGAGAGAACTGGGTAGAGAAGTGAAATGGAGAGATGATTACATTTTACATGTTTGAATACCAAATTCCAGAGACAACTTAAAACGACAAAGATTATCAATTATACATTGATTACTTTATATTTCTTCTCTCACAGACTTAAAAGGTTTAGGAAGAAATGAAAAACTCACTAATTCAAGTCTATATATGTTAAATCCAACCTAAAATCAATTGGCAATAATTGGAGAAGTCCAACTTGAAAATATGACTAGAGGAAACCCGATGCTTAACAAATGTGGGATAACACCACTTGACACCCCCCCTCACATGTCAATCAACAAGGGCCTACAGGTGGAAAACATCACATGGGGTAACAAGCAAGAAGAACAGAATAAGCCTGGGCTCTGATACCATGTTAAACATCAAACCTAAAATCAATCAGCAATAGGTGGAGAGGCCCAACTTGAATATAAGACCAAAGGAACCCCAAGATTTAACAGATATGAGATTATACCATTTAACAGTTTGATTTTACAAATACATCTTTTAACTTTGCTATAAAACATGGGTCAAAAATTCTACTGTTATAACTTCATTCATTTCCTTCCTTTACCATCCAAACAACGAGAACAACTGAATTGATTCAATTTCATTTCAAATCACTTCATTTTCTCCTACCAATTTTCTTTTCTTCTCTCAAACCATCAAAGCACATTGTTAATTGAGAGGTCTGGAGTGATTAACCAAAAAAAGTACCATTGACACATGCAGTGGATGTAGGATTCTGAGTCACCGAACCTCGAATAGTGTTGTCAGAAGCAGGCCAAACAGACCAGTCAGACAAGTTGAACCAGTGACCTATTCAATCTGAAAAATTTTTAAAAAGAACATTTGAAAGTCAAACCAATCAACTTGCCAATTGGACCAGATTGAACCAATTATTATACCAGATTTTAACTCTTTGAACAGGATTTTTTTTATTTAAAAAAAATGTAACTAGTAAGATTCAAAGCTCTAACCCCATTAATGATAGTCAATGCCTTAACCACTTAGCTAAATTTCATATTTGGTTATGTGTTTATCATATTTAATATGGATTTAATGCTAACTTCAAAGTTCAATCAATAAATGTGGTATGGTATTGAACGGGTTCAACCGGGAACCAGACCTGCGACAGGTTGGACAACTGGTCAGGTTATTAAAACATTGGCCCTTAGGTTGTTGCATGGGCCTCCAATCTAACCAATGAATGAGAGTTGACTCCTTGACAGAAAGTTTTCCACCTATAGACAAGTTTCAAACACCATGACTGCATGATATTGGCAATAAACAATAACAGGCAAGCAACTTAACAATTGCCATGATTGTCCTTACAGAATAATTGGAGAACCTAGGGCTAGAATGTTTAGTGATGCATCCAATAACCCCTTCTTTGAAGGCAGCATCCTGCCTTGACTTTACCAGCAAAGTCATGAAAAAGCCATATCCCTTAGAAGAGAACAAACTGCCAACATGATGCCAGTTCTGTTATGATTACAACATCCTCCCCAAAGGCTTAACCTTCTGTCCATCTTTGTAATGGATATTTCTCTATAGAAACAAAAGAATGCTAAACCAACCATATTTAGACGAACATGGTTAAATACAATCTAAACACCCACTTCAAAGAGAAAAGACCTAATAAATGGCATTTAAAATAATAACTAAATCTTCCATATAAAATTGCTCGGTAGTTTCAGTAGACAATTCACCAACCAGAAGAAAAGTGATATGAAAATGGATAGTGATTTGTCTAGGGAAGTTATTTCCAAAATCTTCCATACGACAATAAGATATTCTTTCCCCATACAAGAAACAAATTGTGTAGAAGCTTATAAATGAACCATAAGGAGGAGATTTTCTTCTAAAATCAACAAAATAGGACAATAGAAGTTTCTTCAGAAGATAGAAAAAAGTTATGAAGTCTATATCATTTGAACTACAAGCAATATATGGCATAAAAACATATAACAAGAAACTCTTGAGGGTATACGTTTCACAGAGAAATTCACAAACACCTACATATACCCACAAACATATGTATAAAACATAAGCAAACACATGCATCCTCACATATCTAAGTACATTAATGAGGCAAAAGAAAAAAAAAATCAAACCTTAGATAGTTCAATAATATGAAGGACCTTTCTCTGTACATTTTCTGCTTCTGATATGAGGTTGGATTTTATATATATCTAAAAAAATAGCAACAACATAAGTAGGCATGATGTAGTACAGGAGTATAAATGGTAGAAGAAAATCACAACAGTAAAGGAAACCATAATAAGTGCTAAAATAATGAACATTGAAGTTTGAACAAGAAAAAGTACGATTAATGGTTGTAGAACCATTAACAATAATATCCATGTATAATAAGCCTGCCTAGTGTGTCTAAAATACAATTTATCCCAGGGTCACAGCAGCATTGAATCCTAGCCTTTGGATACACAAAGCACATCTAAACAGCTAATCCTAGTCATTCAAACTCATTAAAATAATTACCATTTACAAACTACACTCTAGGGGTAAAACAGAAAAAATAAAAGAGCATTTCTAAATAACCAATTAGATAACTTCTGGTGTACTCCTGCATCAGGTCATATAGAGCAAAATAAAGAAGCAATGTAACCCAATAACTGGGAAATGAGCAATTAGGTAAAATGCCACAAACATGTAAATATTAGTACAACATGTGTTCAAAAAAAGCTCAAAGACAATGCAACACAAATTATCATCAAAATGGATTACATGTTCAAGCATGTGTACCATCATGCGTGAAGATTTTAGTCTAGAGTCTCTCAGCAATGTTAAAGTAAGATACTCCATTCAATTAAAATTTTCATCTAAGGAAAACAACTCATTGAGTTCAACAAAAGTAATAAGTTGAACCTAAAATTTTAAATTTTCTTAAGCTGTAAAATCAATTTTTATTATTTTCCATACATGCCAACTTGAATGGGACAGGGGGAATAATATAATTTCCATTCCCTGACAAATCACTCTGTTAATATGTGTCAGTTATAGGTATCTTAAAAGTGGGTGATTTTCTACATAGTCAACAAACAGATGAATAGACAGCATGTTCACACAAAGAAAAAAAGAAAAAAGGCAAAAAAGGATGAGCATTAGATCCACATATAGGAGGGCCTAATGTAAGGTCTAGACAATTCAACAAGAATTTAATGGCTGCCTAAATTTTGTTACTAGCTTTTATAAGCAAATCAAATCTCTTTTCTCCACGTGGTCACATGGAGTCAAAACCTGACAAAAAGGAAGTCTAACTCTCATCAAGATTGTCTAATGAGGGCCCCCCTCTAGAGTCTGGATGCCTTACATGACCAAGTGCCACAGAAAACTACCATCAGAACAAAGAAGCAAGATTTTGCCTCAAGAGATCCTCCAATCAAGTATAACTGAGTCTTTTCATTAGTCTAACCAGGTCAAACTCCTATCAGTCTACAGCTGTTCCCCTTGGCATTGTTGTTACGAATCATTACCTTATGGGGAAAAATACTATTCAAGTGATAACAAAAAAGCTAGAAAAAGGGCATGAAGATTTACAACCTGTGCGAGATATCTTAATCTCCTTATGCATGCCATCGACTCACCTTGACCATTTTCCTGGATCCTTGAACACATTAATAACATCGAAAACACCAAACCATGACCATAGAACACCCATAATTAACACTAGTTTTGACCAAAATAGAATTGCACCTCTAGTATTCTGATAGAATCCTGAACAAGGACCTCAGAATCATCTAGTCTTCCTTGGAAATACAATACCTGCAGTTAAACTACAAGTCACTCTAACATGAAAAAGAGCACATTAATGAGAATACAGCACAAGACATAGATTAGAACAAAGATGCAGAAGTAGAATATAATTTACAGGTACACAAAGTTCGGTACTACAATATGTCCATCATAATTTAGGCATGAATCTCAGCATCCATTATTACACAAAAGACATTTTGAACAGATAAATCTAAGAACGCATTTGGATGATGAATTTTGAATATTTTCAAGCATTTTAAAGTGCATCAGCGTTTATAATTGCATTGTTTAGATAAGTATTTCTTAGAGTAAATTACACCAAACTCCCTTAGTTTTGTCCCTAATTACACTCAAGTCCAACAGTTTAGGAATCCTACATTCCGCCGCAAAAGATTGCTTCTTGCATTGCTAAAAATTCCAACCATCAATGCACCATTAGCAAATCTGTTAAAGAAAATGGCATGGCCTCATGTGAGACTCATGAGTTGCCAAAAATGTCCATCATTATTAGGCATGCATGAGTAGTGTGTGCTGCATCAATTTAAATTGCTCTCTAAATTGAAACAAAGTTAAAGAATCTTAAAACTAAGGTTTAAAATCCCAAATCTGGATCGGTTATTGTTTCACTTACTAATCAAGATGAAATTGTCGAATCTTTTACTTCATTTTTTTATGAAACAAAACATCTTCACAAGTTATCCACTTTTTCGCTTCAAATCAAGACTTGAGAAAACCAACTTCTTTTGTTGCAGCAAACCCAAATCCTTTTCAATTTCTTTTCTTCAATAGTCTCATTAAATTGATCAAAGAAGTCTTAGCATGCAAATCAACTATTTTTGCAGTGAAAACACACATAAAAATTTTTTGTAGTTCATGATGAAAAATGACAGATGCTGGATTGAAATCTTCAATGACTTAATGCCTCTGTTTACCAGACAAAACTAATAATATCCAAATTGGTTTTCTGGCAAATGCTAATATTCCATTAACGGCATTAAGCTGATTGGGGTGGATGTAGAACCCCTAAACTATTGGACTTAAGTGTAATTAGGGGTAAAACTGAAGGAATTTGGTTACTCTATTCTTAGAATGAAAATTTTAAGTATATGAATTTGATGAGGAAAAAAAGAATAATGATTTTAGGGACAGAAAAGTTTAAAAAATGGAGAAAAATATGCAATATGGATGTTGTTAGATTTGTAAAAATGTATAGATATTAGAAATAATATAAAAAATTAAGAAATACAATTAAAAAAATGAGATTTTGTAGTTAGAGTTAAAAAATTAAAAGTTGCACAAAAAAAAAAAAAAGAAAACATAATAAACGTTGAAGTCGTATTAGAACACCAAGGAATTTTAAAAATTCCAACCCAAGAGGTGGACTCTGAAATTAGAAATTGGGTCTCCAAAATCTCTTATCCAAATTCCAAGAATTTTGACAATCCCAACTTTTCATTTGCCAAGATAATTTGATTTTAAAATTTTGAAATTCTCTTTATAAATGGAATCCCTCCTTAAAATCCCTCATCCTAACACACAAAGAATTGGGAATTCTAAAAATTTGCACAGTGGATTGATGAACAAACTGTAAATCTCTACCAACCAGTGAAGCACATTATAGAAGAAAAATGAGCAGACCACAAGGAAAAGAAACGATTAATAATCCACAAAGAGGCTTAAAAATGAAAAAACAAAAACAAACAACCAAACAACGAAAGGAAAGCCAAAATGATATGAAGATTTGAAACATTACCGTTCCAAGGTGATACATTGTATCTGCATAATCTAGGTTGCCACGTCCCAAAACACGTCCCTTTATCTGAATCCTTATGTAGTATAAATTTAGTCATGCTAAAGAAAGTATAAATGAGAAAAGGAAAACTAATCTCAATTTGAGTTACAAAGTGCATTTTTTGAAAATCAGTAAAAAGAAATTTTCTCTAGTCATGTATATGCATCTCTGTGTAATGCATATACATATCTACATAAGGACATATCTATGTCAAAATTTGATTCATACCTTTAAAGCACGCTGTCCAAGGAATTACCCAACCAAAAAGAAAAACACACATTTTAGATCAAGTTGTCAGAAACTGTAAATATCAAAGTATCAATATGTAGACAAACATCATCATACAGACATAGAAGATGAATGCTATTGAAATCAATTAAATTAAATCTATTGTTGTACACCATAGAATTTAATGCAGAAATACAAGCAAACTATTAATATTGACTGAAATATAATAGAGACATTTAACAACTAGCTGTTCTACATGTTTAAGAAAGAGTCGACATAATGAAGCTGAAGCAAATAGAAATTTAGTTTATCAAATTGTAGCTAGGCTATTTAGAATTAAGTACTTCATGGTTAAACAAGAGTATAAAAATAATAATAATGAACTTCTAAAATTATAAAAAATATATATATGAAGCTATTCTAGCGTGATGCATCAACAAATTCTTTGGAATTGATATGAGTTACAAGTTAAAATATGATGAGGTTCTCAACTAGACATCCCCAACCCCAACCAAGGGAGAATACATAATTACCTGATTTGGAGGCCACAATGATCACTTTAGAATGAAGCAGGGACACTAGAAAGGGACTAGTTATTTTTAAGTTTAACTAACCTAGAACTAGCTAAAATGTCTAATACTGCGATTCTCTGATATCTAGATGACATAGTAATCAGAGCAGCGAAATGATATTCAATCATTCTTATGGTGCATCAAACAATCCAAGTTCTCCAATAATAGCAAGGGAGCTGTCTCTTAAAATATGAGTCTGGTCTTCCAGTTAAAACCTTCCATACTCGCTAGAAGCAAACTACAAATAACAAATAAACTAGCAACAGTTGAAAGGAACAAAATTATAGGGTAGACTTCACCTATTCCCACTGTAATTTCGGTTTTCCTCACATAACACTGTTTCTTTTTCTCAGATAACATCCAGAGTTTAGCTACTCTTCCAAGAGGGGACCACAGTGTAAATAAATGGCAGCTTTTTTGGTGAATGCTTCCATAAGAGACCTAAAATACCCATTATCCCTTATCTCATTTTTAAATTCCAAAGAAACCCCCACCATCCAAGCTAACTCACCATTTCTTCCTCAGTTCTCATGCCTGACACAACCCACCAGCAAGAATATATGATGAAAACTACTTATGCAAATACACTAGATGCAAATTGATACAGGCAGAAATGTTGATCATAAAAAAAGTCCCTAAGTTAATGCACCTCTAACCATATTCTATTACCTCATAGCACATCCGAGCCTCTTCCAACTTTCGCTGTACAAGATAGAACTGCCCAAGGTTGTGCAAGGCAACTCCTACACTGTATTAATATGGATAATAGAGTTTAATGGGCACTTAAAAATAAAAAATATTGAGGTAATTGCTTGTATCCAGCCAATCAAATCAAAGTCGCTGAACAAAGAGATATCAAAACCATACACATGCTACTTAAAGTGTCAAATGAAGAATTTACAACTATTTTGGTAAGGTGGAAGAACTTATAACTGTGTTAATAATAGCAATGAATGTCTGTCTGCTTGTACAGAATCTGCCTTCAGGTACATCTACCATCTTGAACAATAAAACTGGAAAATGTAGCATGTCATTGATTCCAAATAAATTTCATGTTTGGACAAAGACCATATCCATTGGAAACCTTCGACAGTGCAAAAGATTTTGGACAAGATAGGAGCATTGGTTTACTCCTTTAGTTTGATTTTTCTAAATGTTAGAATTCCCTATCCATCACATTTGTCTTAATGGTTGGAAAATTTGGCAAGGTGCTGTTGCCTAGTACCAAACATTAATGCTAGCCCCATTCACTGGAGAATGGAACAGCCACAGGTTTTGGCATCTTAAACTTTTGAATTGGGTTTATCAGGTTTCAAATTAAAGCCAATATTCAATGATTTATAAGATTAGGAGTTGACTTTAGGACATGAACTTTCGAAAAGCTTGCAAGCTTTTCTTACATAAATCCAATTTCAATGAGAAATTAATACCTAAAATAACAATAACTCTCTTCTATTAAAAGAAGCAAAATGCATAGCTCTAAGGTGGAGTTCACAGATTTGAATGATTTATTGAAACTAAGTTGCCTAGGATTCTCAATCACTCATCTCTACTTTTATGCTGTTCTCTTATCCAATTAATTCCTGCTTTCCTCATATAATAATTCCTCAATATAAATTAATCTCTTAATACAAACCAGATCTGAAACTCAAGAGATAAGGTAATCAAATTCCCAAATCTTAGTCTCCTCCCTGAAACCTACTTTGAATTAACCTTAGTTTCTTCTGCATCAGAAACTAACCAGATTTGACAGTTATAACACTAAGCAAAGCAGATTCTGTATGGTGTAGGGCATCAGAAACATGAATAATTATCGGAAACTTACTTAACCATGCAACTGCATCTAAACATGCTATCATCATGAAATTTAAAAAATTATGTGAAAGACAAATGTGCAAAATAAATATACTAGAGATCTGATCCTTATGACATAAAAATATTGTCATAGTTCACAAAGTAACACGCTAGATACCGTATATCTTCAGAGCTAAATGCCTCCTCTAATATGTTGATGGCCTCTAAATACAAAGGTTCTGCCTTGTCAAATGCCCTTTTAACTCTGTAAAGCTCTGCCTAGAAGGATGAAAGGGAAAAAGCAAATAAATATCTTAAACATAAGCAGCTATAATGCAAAAAATAGAGAAAAAAGCTTTTTATCACAACTTCCATGAGCAGAAAGAATTGTCAGTGTTACTTTCATTTGGAATATGTGGACACCTAGAGCAAATATAAGACAACTAATGGTCCAATAAACGTTCCCAAGGGGTGAGATGGATTTGAACTGTTTAATAGAGGTGGGGAAAACTTAAACAAACCAGTGATCAAAATTTTCAAAGTACTAAAAGTTTGAGAATTTCAATATGCTTGGGAAAAAGGTATGTCTAAAGCTTCCAGCCACAAAAGCATTTCAAATACTAACCAAAAAAATTCAACATCAGCATCAGTTTTGTTCTTGAGCAATTACTATAAGCACCAATCAAGTGAAACTGATGAAAGAACATCCAAAATCAAAATAGAAATTAATAGTCAAGGAAAACAGCTCAAGGATTTAAATTTTTTTCCAAGTGATCATAGCTGTTATATTACTGAAAAATAACAAAGAAAACCTAGATGATAACCTTTTACTAGCTACTATCAAAATCAGGTTTGGCTGCCACAGACTCTGACCTCTCATGGCACAACAGTTCTAGACTTAGGAGCAATTTCAAATAACACAGATGAAAATTCAAATAGATTTGATTCAGAATCCTGCACCAAATATTTCTGCACTCTAAACTCTTGAAGCTAACACAAGAGCAAGTGTATCTCAAAATTATTAAGACAATTACATGAGAAGAGAGTCCAGGATGTCTCCTATCACTATATTCCACTGCATGTGGATGTGAGTGGTTTCTGGTAAACTGCATCGCGCAAAAAGAAGAGAGTAGTCTCCAGGGGAGAACTTGAGAAGTAAATAAGGGGAATAGGTGAATCCATTCAGTCGATCCTGAGCAAACCATTAGAGAAAAAAGTAGCCAAGCATGTCTATTGAAAAGCTTGAATTTAGTCCAGATGGAGAACTTCAACCTGCTGAACCAAATCCAAACAGACAAGGAGAAAATATCAAATGGAAGTGAGAAGACTCCAAGATGCTATCTCCAGACTCTAAAGAAAGAATCAGCATTGTTAATTCATTTCCTATCTCCTTATGTTATTGATACCCTGAAACCAACAATCAGCATCCATCAGTCTCATATAAACTGCGTTTTATGTGTTGATCAGAGTGCATGGAATGTTCATCACCAATAAATCCCACAATCAGTCACTATCACAACCTTATGACCTGTAAACTTTATTTCCAACTTAGCCCCTACCAGTAATCTATTAATATTCGTTACTGCCCATGATACCATCTGTGACTAAGACTGTTTCCATCATCTTGATGATGCTTTTGACTAGTTTGTGCTTAAAAATACACCACCTCAACCTCAACAGTCAATATTTCCAGACATTATTTGTATAACCTCTATATAGTACAACATATCTAACTCCATGAGAAATTTATTGTCATAACCAACAATTCTTTGAAGTACCAGGACTTATTATTACTCAATAAAATCATTGATACTTTCATCAAACAAACGACATCTTCTGAGTTCCACCTAACCCACAGACATCATATGCCAATCAGCTGATGTCTTCCATATTGTACTGTCCACGTCATTTTATAATCCTTCCCTCTCTAGCATTTTTTTTCTTAGAAAACTTCTTTTCCCTTTATTTCTGTTGTGAGAGAGTAAAGATGGATAACACAGCACCAAACTTTGCCAACAACCAACCAAGAAAGAAAATACTGGAGCTGAGTCAAAAAATTACTTCTAATCAATCAATAAAAATGAACCATTACACATAACCAACAAAGATTGCAATTGCTTTCTCTAATTTAAAAACAAATTTAGCCAAAATCTTAAGATTGAAATTCACTAGTGTTTGATTTTTAAACCTTATTAGTTCAGTTACGGAAATACATGATACTGTTAGCAAAACAGGCAAAATTAATTTCTTGAAAACCAACCAGAAATTCATTCTACAATACTCACAAAAGAAAATTTTTGCTTGAGATTTATAGAAAATACCAAGAAGCCGTTCATCCATCATAAGATCAAAGTTATTATTATATTCCTCATTTAGAAAACAACAAAGAAAAGAAAAATTAAGTCCAAAAATTGTATTAACATATAAGTGACAAGGGATAAGCAGTATTAACATCCTTTCTTCATAGTGCTTCAAAGAGAATAACAGAAAAAGGCTAGTCTAATTAGAGCTATTTCAAATCCTTTACCCTTTAGAAGCTACTGTTTTAAATCATTCAAAGTCTTAAACAATAGAAATAACATCAAAACCCCAATATCAATTTATCCAAAAAAAGTATATGGTTTGCATATCATGAATTATGGCTCGATTATCAATAAGTATTCCTGAAGTATCAAAAAGTTAATTCCTTTTCTTTATTTGTGTAATATTATATACATATTTGAAAATATTGGAAGCATCAGGGTACTGCATATAATAAGATACAAAGTGTTTGGAGTATTTATGCTTCATATACCATAATAATAGCCAAAAGCATTTGAGAAGTAGACTCACCAAATTGTTGCACGCAGATGCAACATGGGGATCCCTCTCCCCAAATCCTTCTTTAGCTTCTTGGATTGCAGAAAGGAAGAACGTTTCTGCTTCCTCTAGTTTTCCCTATTATTTATAAAAGAAAGGAAAGAGTGCAAGTCAGAAACTAAAAGAGACAAAAGGTATAGCAAAAAATGCTTGCCTGCAAAAAATAATCTCTCCCATTATCCGTAAAAATTCTCCACTTAGATGTGTGTATATTAGATATCACAGAGCCATCCTCAATTTTGCGTAATCCAACAATGTTAGCGCCTTGCACATCACTTTCTGAACTTGTTTGAATTGACTCATCATCTGCTAAAACAGGGTTGATATTTATCCCCAAAATTATAGCTGCAAAGAAAACAAAGTATTCAATAAAGAATTGTTTGAGCAGCAATCATTCATAAAGCAATAACCACTCTAAAGAAAAAATTAAGATAGGCTTAAAAGTTAAAGGATTTTGTTTTGATGTTTAGCAAGACCTTAAAGAATTAAATGTAGAGTTTTTCTTGTTTTGAGTCAACTAAAAAACTCCGTCACTTAGAGGAAGGTTAATAATGGTGCCTTTGATTAAAGCGTGGGAAAACACTTATTTACAGCTGGTTGTAATCTTGTAATCTGTATATTTATATTTGTATCTCTAGAATTAAGTATTTGTATCCCTAGAATTAAGGAAGATTTAGTTTCCTAGTTTAACCCCTAGTTAGTTGTATATAAACCTAAGATTCTTGTATAATTGTTGATAAGCAGTTTTTCAATATACATTCAATTTCCACATGGTATCAGAGCTTTAGGCTCTTCTTGGGAAGAAAAATTTTCAGCCTTCATTGCTGACTTTTTTAGGCCTTCATTGCCGACTTTTTTAGGCCTTCATTGCCGAATCCTGTTTAGGCCTTCATTGCCGAACCCTTTCAAAGAAAGATATCACTATCACCCAATTTGAGGAAATGTTAACTGAAAAAATCACTGGAGTACTACAGATGTCTCAGAAACAAAGAGAGTTTAACAGGGAAGAGATTGAAAAGCTGAGAAACTTATTGAAAATCCTTGAAAAGCCTACTATGGTATGTTCTTTGGGTAAAGTTTCTAGTTCAGGTAAAGCTTCTGGTTCTCATGGATTAAATGTCTCGGCTAAGCCTATTACGAGTTCTTGGGTCATTGACTCAGGAGCCACAGACCACATGACACATTCCCCACAAAAGTTTAGTACATATAACCTGTGTCCTAGTAATAAGAAAATTGTTGTTGCTGATGGTTCACTTACCACAGTGGCAGAATTAGGAGATATTCAAGTTAATCCCTCGTTTGTTCTCAAAAATGTTCTTCATGTTCCTGGATTGTCTACTAATCTGATATCTATACAAAAACTTACCAGAGATATGAATTGCAAAGTAACTTTTTATCCTTCTTATTGTGAATTTCAGGACCAGAGTTCGGGGAAGATGATTGGACTTGCTAAGGAGAAGGATGGACTATACTATCTTGAGACATCAAATAACACAAGTAGTATCAAAAATAATTTACCTTTGTCATTTTTTTCTGAAAAAATCTTCCAATAAAGACAAATCTGGCTTTATCATTTTCGTCTTGGACATCCTTCTTTTGGAACCTTGAGAAACATGTTTCCTTCTTTGTTCAAAAGAATTAAATGTTGAAGATTTTCATTGTGATATTTGCGAATTTGCAAAACATAGACGTGTGTCTTTTCCAATCAGTAACAAAAGAAGTTCTACTCCTTTTTACTTGATTCATAGTGACATTTGGGGTCCCTCTACAATTCTTAATATTTCTGGTGCGAGATGGTTTGTTTCATTCATAGATGATTGTACTAGGGTCTCTTGGGTTTTTTTACTTAAATCCAAATCAGATGTGAATAGTGTGTTTTTAAGCTTCCAAAACATGATCCAAAATCAATTTGGAGTAAAAATCAAGAGATTTAGGTCTGATAATGCAAAAGACTACTTCAACCAGAGTCTATCCACTTATTTTCAAAAAGAGGGGATTATTCATGAGTCATCTTGTGTTAATACTCCACAGCAGAATGGAGTGGCAGAGAGAAAAAACAGTCATTTATTAGCCACAACCAGAGCCTTTCTTTTTCAAGCAAATGTACCTAAATCTTATTGGGGGGAAGCTGTTCTCACTGCCACACACATTATAAATAGGTTACCTTCAAGAGTTTTGGGATTTAAAACTCCTATGGAACTACTCTCACAATTTTATCCCAACCTCAATACCACAAACAATCTCACACCTAGGATATTTGGTTGTACATCATTTGTTCATGTTCACAGTCATAACAGGGGAAAGTTGGATCCAAGAGCGATTAAGTGTATTTTTGTGGGGTATTCTTCAACTCAAAAAGGATATAAGTGCTATCACCCTCCTACCAAAAAATTTTATGTGTCTGCAGATGTCACTTTTGAAGAAAATAAACCATTTTTTACTCAACCTTATCTTCAGGGGGAGACTTCATTCATGGAAGATAAGGATAAAGACTTCTTTTTGCTTGATTTGCCCCCTTCTTCAACATTTACACCCATTAATTCTTATGAGTCGAAACCTGTTTCTGCTGAGCCCAAGTCAAACATTGAATTTGAGTCTGAACCCATTCCAAATACGAAAGATGTGACAAAGGATAATATTGTTCTTGATTCTATGAAGGAATTACAGGTGTACTCAAGAAGAAAAGTTCCAGATCCTGAACCAGTGCCAGTCCAAGAACCTGATCCTAACTCTGGAAATGAGGTAACTACAGTTTTTGACTCTGTTTCTCAAAATGAGCATGAATCTCCTAAAACTATAGCTAGTGATTATGATTTGCCTATTGCCATTAGGAAAGGAACCAGAGAATGTACCAAGCATCCACTATACCCAATATCTAATTTTGTGTCATTTGAAAAATTCTCACCATCCCACAAAAATTTTCTTGTGAGCCTAAACACTATTTCTGTTCCAACAACATTATCCGAGGCATTATCCAGTGAGAAATGGAGGCAAGCCATGAAAATAGAAATGGAGGCCTTAGAGAAAAATCAGACATGGGAACTGGTAGAGTTGCCTAAAGGAAAAAATTCAGTGGGGTGTAAATGGGTTTTCATTGTAAAATACAAGGCAGATGGTACTGTTGAAAGGTATAAAGCCAGGTTAGTGGCTAAGGGCTACACTCAGACCTATGGAGTGGATTACCAGGAAACCTTTGCTCCAGTTGCCAAGATGAATACAGTTAGGATTTTGTTATCATTAGCTGCAAATTACAATTGGCATCTTCAACAATTTGATGTAAAGAATGCTTTTTTACATGGTGATTTGGAAGAAGAAATATATATGAAGGTTCCACCGGGATTTGAAGGTCATCTAGCAGCAAACAAAGTATGCAAGTTAAAAAAGGCTTTATATGGCCTTAAACAGTCTCCTAGAGCTTGTTCGGGAGATTTGCCAAAGTGATGCTAGCAATGGGATATAAACAGAGTCAAGGAGATCACACATTATTTATCAAGCACTCTGATTCAGGGAGAGTCACAGTTCTATTAGTGTATGTTGATGATATAATTGTAACTGGAGATGATGAAAAAGAGAGAGAATCTCTAAAACAGTGTTTGGCTAGAGAATTTGAGATAAAAGAGCTAGGGAGATTGAAGTATTTCCTAGGAATTGAAGTAGCTCACTCACGGCATGGTATTTTTATCTCACAACAGAAATATGTGATGGATCTTCTGAAGGAAACTGGGAAGCTTGCATGTAAACCTGCAAATACTCCTATAGATCCTAATCATAAAATTGGAGAAGCTAATGAAGATGCTGCTGTAAATAGAGAGATGTACCAAAGATTAGTTGGAAGACTCATTTATCTCTCACATACTAGACCTGATATAGCATATGCTGTGAGTGTGGTAAGTCAATTTATGCATAGTCCTAAAGAAGTGCACCTACAGGCTGTCTACCGTATATTACACTATTTGAAGGCCAATCCTGGGAGAGGTATCTTATTCAAAAGAGATTCGGGGTTAGTTCTAGAAGCATATACAGATGCTGATTATGCAGGTTCAGTAACTGATAGAAGATCTACCTCAGGCTACTGCACTTTCTTAGGTGGTAATCTTGTGACTTGGAGGAGTAAAAAACAGAATGTGGTGGCAAGATCAAGTGCTGAAGCAGAGTTCAGAGCAATGGCTCAAGGAATTTGTGAACTACTATGGTTAAAGATTATCCTAGAAGACTTGAAGATCAAGTGGGATGGACCAATGAGACTCTACTGTGATAACAAGTCTGCAATAAGCATTGCACACAATCCTGTGCAACATGACAGAACAAAACACATTGAAGTAGACCGGCATTTCATAAAGGAAAAACTAGACAGTGGGTTGATTTGTACACCTTATGTATCAACCAAGGGTCAACTTGCAGATGTGTTGACTAAAGGTCTCAGCAGTGCAACATTTCAAGAAATTATTTCCAAGCTGGGAATGAAAAACACCTATTCACCAGCTTGAGGGGGAGTGTGGGAAAACACTTATTTACAGCTGGTTGTAATCTTGTAATCTGTATATTTATATTTGTATCTCTAGAATTAAGTATTTGTATCCCTAGAATTAAGGAAGATTTAGTTTCCTAGTTTAACCCCTAGTTAGTTGTATATAAACCTAAGATTCTTGTATAATTGTTGATAAGCAGTTTTTCAATATACATTCAATTTCCACATAAAGAAAAGAGGGGGGGGCCGCAAGGACAACGGTTCCAGCAATGAAGAATGGATGCATACATTAGAAGCGGATACAATTCAGCAAAAACATAGCAGTACACAAGTTTTGTTTGCCTTTTTTATAAGAATAGCGGTATGCAAGTTTTGAATCCAAAAGAAAAACATGGAAAAAGCAAGCCAGAAGTATGAATTAATATATTTTAAATGTTTAATAGTTGAAACTAAATACTGATGAAAAAAGCAATTAAATTTTGCAACTGCTCCCTTTCTCTCCAAACACCGCCAGACACAGCAAATAACTGACATCTTTTCAGTGTAATTCCTCCTCTCTCTTCTTCTTCCCCTTCCTTTTCTTTCTTTCTCTGTCTCACTTCCATTTATTTTTAACACTTTTTTCTCCCTCTAAAACAGCTCCCTGTCATCATGTTTTGCTACCTTTACATATCAGAGAAAGAAACACTCGGTAATAACAACAATATAAGCTCCACAACCAGATTACGATTTTGGGCTTCCAAAAGTAATGTAAGCTTTTTTTAGATTAGGCTTAATTTTGCTTTTGTTGACATGACTCGGGCTCTGGTTGAATACGGGTTTAGAAGGACAATTTCTTGATAATGGGCAAGCCCAAGACTTGTATGAAATGTGATAGCAAGAACTTATGCTATTTTGAAGGATTTTAAGGTTTTGTAGTGATCTTTAAGATGTTGATACAGGACTTTACAGCCATGGATTTGTAGGTTAATTAAGTATTTTATCTATGAATTTTAGTTTGGTCAAATTAGTAACTAGTACATGTACTTAATCAAAGTTGCAAATTTAGTCACTTAACAATAATTCATATAAATCAAGTCTCCTTACTTATAAGGATTTGTTAATGTCGATCCAATCACTAACAATGTCAAATTTTCACCACTAATATTGTTGACATTGACTTCGTTAACATGTCTTTGACCAAACTGACATAGCATTTTCCCAAAATTTTGAAATGTGAAGAAGATGACATGGATTTCTTTTTGCCACTTGTCCTATTTTTTCTTCTTCCCCTTTTCTCTCATTCTTTCTTCCAGGAAGAAAAAACCTGAAAAGGGAATACAAGAATTGCAGCCTCAGCCAGATCTGGAGGCCATGGCCAAACCAGTAACCAGATCCAGATCCAACAACCATTCTCCAGAAAAAAATCAATGCAAAATACAACTTCCAAAAAAAATTTCATATATGAGACAAATCCATGATAAACTTAAAGAACAATTGCTTGAACATCAAACATGGCATGAAGATGCCAATGTTCTTTGTCTACATTTCTAGCAAGGACTTGATTCAAAACAATTAATCTTTAAAAGAAAATAGTCAACCATTTTCTCTTGAAAATATATTAGACATAAGAGAGGGGGGGATACTACAATATAGGTCAAAGAAATTCTTGATTGAAACATCAAGAAATCTTGAAAAATATGCAAACTCTCACTTCTGCTACAAAAAAATTCAACAACATTTTGAATTGTGAAAGACCAAAAAAAAAAAAAACAAACCAGTTTTGACAAAAAGGAAGAAAGCACTAACCTTTTCTAATATTCTGTCTCTAACCCAAAAAAGCAATAACAAAGTACTAGAATTTACATGTTTTCATATTAAAGAGATACCGAGAAAGACCAAAGGGAAACTGTGAGGACCCAAGGACATAGCAATGAGCTCTCCATGATCTAAAGCAAAAAGTCGATAGAAGGCAGCTGTGTTGTAGCTAATCAACCAAGAACCCCATTAGACAAAAAAAAAAGGCTTTGAGTTAGCAAACAACTATTCTCCTTTTCTTTTTAAATTTACACTGAAGTGGCTGACAGGGAGTAGGAAGAATTTTAGTAAAAATGAAGAAAATTAGATAGATTGCAGAAATAAAGACAAGTAGGTGAGCGGGAAAATATGATGAGAGAGATATTGTGCATGGTTGAAAAGAAAAGAAAAAGGGCAGAAACACAAAAGGAAATTTGAAAAGCAAAAAGAAATAAAAATGCTAAATCATCAGGCCATATCACTTGAAAATGCCAAGTGGGAAAAACAAAATCCACCCGCTGAACATATTGTATAATAGTATCCATCAAATGAAGTTATTAATTTGACAGGATTATACAAAAAAAAAAAATTATTGCAATACAAAACTTGATTAATTGAAATTGAAAAACTAAAATTAACATTTAACCAAAGGACTGCCTCAATAAATTTGCCTTTTCAAGCATGAGCTATTGATGCCAGTCATGTAACTCAACACAAGCAGATGAATTAAGTATTCCCACTGCCATTTCAATATAATTAGTTTCATAAAGACAGCCAATCTCCTATTAACTTATACTGCAGAGCAAAGAATTGAGAAAAAAAGAAACACTATAATTTAAATTTAATTTGTAGAAACGCCGTGAAAATGAATATACCAGCTTGTCCAGTTAGAATAATCCATATAGGAGGATCAGCTTGACCCGTACTCCATGAGCTCCCATAACCAATGTGATAGGGGAATTTGATTTTGCCTGCAATAATATTATCAAAATCAATGATATTAGGAATCAGGAAATGGCCTTCAAATTCAAGAATTGAAAAGGTTCGATCTAAATTAATGTAGCATCTCCGAATTGAATTCAAAACAAAAAGAGCAAAATTAACAGAAATAGAGATCATAAATATTGAAATGTTCAGAAACATACTGGAAAGAGAGAAAGGGAAAGCAGTGGCGGTTGCCGTTGCTGGACGAGAAGCAGAAGCGGAGACGGACTGAGAAGGAAGGCGAACTCTCCTTAGCAAACTAACGGCTGCTTTACGTAGAAACATCTTCTCCTTCGGCGGTGTACGGGTTGTCTTCCCTAAAACCCAGGGTTTAAACTTTGTACGTTAGAAAGGGCTTTTTTTTACTTTGCCAGCCAGGCCTTATGGTCCAAACTAGAGCTACTAGTGGTTTGGGTCTGCTTATTTTGGGTCTCGAAAGAATTGAATCATTCCAAGAAAGTTAAATTATGTTTTTTGAATCTTATTTCTTATAATTTAATTTTTATATTTGGTTCATAGCATTTGATTTTTAAGGGTATTTTAAAATTTTTAACAGTATTCAAATATTCTAGAATCAAAATTTCATCTATTTTTTTATTTTTTTAAATTTTAAGAAAAAATTTAATTTTATCCTACATTTAAACTCAATAATAAATTTTTTCAATATATTTTACTTTTAAAAATCAACGTTATTATATGATAAATAGAGATTTATTCTAACACGAAAATGAGTATTTACAACCACTCAATTGAACATTTGATACATGATTGAATATATAATATATTACATATACTAAAAATAACATTTTTTAATATATATATAAAGTAGATAATTATAATTTTATATTTTTGAATTTTTTATTTTATAAAATATTACATTTTTTATATGAAATGTAACAAATTAATTAAAATAATAACAAAATAAAATAAATATTTTGACATCAATGAGGTTTTTATGTTGTAAACGTATTAATTAATATAGTATTACAAAAGAATATTATATCATACTTTTAACTACATCTTAATATAAAAAAAATGTAATATTTACTAACAAATACCATACTTCTTATTTTGAAAACGTGGTTGATAATTTATCAAAAATTATATTTTTTGTTTCAAAACGTGATTGGTAATAAAAAAATAATATAATAAACTTACATTTGATTTAGTGTTTCAACTATATTTTTTATATCAAAAATGTAATATTTAATATTATTAATAATATTTCTGATATAAAAAATGTAGTCTTTACTTATTAAAATATAGTATTTATTAAAAACATAATGTTTATTTTCACAAAAACGTAGTGTTTTTTTTTATAAACATTGCATTTAGATTTTTTTTTTTTTAAATAGTCTTTGACTTTTATTTCATATATATATATATATATATATATATATTGTTCATAATAAATTACTTTATTTTTAATATTACAAAAATGAAAATCCTATTTATTTATTTTGTTTAATGGTTGTCACAAGTTTAATTTTAATAATATAATTGACAATTAAAATATTGGTAACATATTATTCACATATAATAAAATGATATTATAATAAAAAATACTTATTACATAATCTGATATTTTTAAAACCAAACATAATAACCTAACATTCGCATAACAAGAAGAATACCCTATTGTCAAGAATCTACACTTTTCCAATAATCACTTTTCTTTTTTAAATATAAAATTTTGTGAACCAAACGCCTTTTAGTGTTTTGGATTAATGTTTTCAAATGTTTTAAGTTTAAGTAGTTTTAGACTCAATATTCGAAATTCAATTCTTTTTATTTGAAGAAATTTGGAATTCAGATATTTTAGATTTAAGATATTTTGAATTTGACGTTTCAATTATTTGAATTTGAATTATTTGTAGCATAATTTATTAATTTTTAGAATCAAACCAAATTAAATTTAAAGAAATTATATTCAAATAAGGTTTTATTAAAATTTTATTAAAAGTTAAAAAATAAAAATAATATTTTAAAAATAAAATATAAACATTAATTAAAGTTAATTTTTATATAAATAAAAAATATGTGATTTTATTTTTTATTAAACTAAAATATTTTTAGTTAATATTACATTATAATCATTAATTCACTTTTAATCAAATACAATAAAATCATTTAAATTTTTAATTTCTATACCAAAGAGATTTCAATTTCAAATTTTAAAAAAAATAATGTTATGAATAACTTTTAAACTATAATAAAATGTTCAATGTCATACCTTAATTTTAAAAATTTTTAATGTAATACTTAAGTTATGAATCTATTAATTAATATTTAATTAATTATCATGTAATTAATTTTAAATGATGACACCTAAAAGATAAATAATTATTCAAATACCACATTAATTAGTATATTCATAAATTAAATATCACATTAAAAAATTTTAAAATTTATATACCATACTAAATATTTTATTATAATTTAAAAGTCATTCATAATATTAACTTTTTCAAAAATCATGATTTTTTAAGCCAATGTGATATTTTACATTACCACCAAGTCACCGACTATGACTCGTACATATATAAGATACTAATATATCCATATAGATCTTACAAATGAATTATGATATGACAAATATGATAATGATATTATTATTATTATTAAAATAAAATTATTAGCTACTAAATCAAATACAACAATAAATCAATATCCATCTTAGTTATATTTTATACCAAATATGTAATAAGGGTAGAGTCATGCGAATCTTAATTAACGAGTCATTAATTTATTAAATTAATTCAAAATTCCTTACTATACCAATAGGGTTATACCACTATAGTATGCTTTACATGTATATGCTTAAAGTATTGTTAATAAAATGAAATTATTAATTAGTAAGTGTAAAATGGAAAGCTTAAATAAAAGATATTTAGAAATTTTAATCCTTAATGTTTACAACTTTGTCTTTATCAGTTTAGCATGATTGTATATAATTTTATGTTTGATTAATTGATAACTAAAATTTTTTAACTATTTTTAAAAGTAATGATTTTGTTACATGAAATTTATAGTAAAATATAAAAAAATAAATGTTATAATTAGTTTTATTTTTATTATTGTTAATTATTTTTGTTTTTAAATGATTAATTTACTATCGTTCTATTTAATTGTTTTAATCAAAATTAAAAAAGAAAATAAAGAATTTTATTTATAATTTATACTAATAAACATAAAAATTAAATTCTATTATTTTAAAAGATTATTTAAAATTATAAATTAATAATTTATGTTATATTTATTTTTTATTAAACTAACATTTTTAAAATAAAATTACACCTGATTTAAATTTAAGTCATTTCCAGTTAATTTTTGGGACAATTTGAATTCCAATTAATTTATATTTAAGTTAATTAGGTTTGGGTTAATTCAAATTCATAATGATTTATGGGTTGAATCAATTTAGGTCTAAATTATTTTTGAGTTCAAGTTGAGCAAGTTCAGATCTGTAACATTTTATGATCAAATTGGGTTCTAATTAAGACGAATTAAACGAATTTCTTTAGTTTGAGTCAAAATCGACAAGTTTAGAGCAAATCCATGCCATGGCCTTAAACTTGAAACTTCACTCCTAATTTTAGCTTTTTTTTTTTTATTTTAATGAATAATTTTATAAAATTTTTCATTTAAGAAAATAAGTTTTACCTTTTCAAAAAAAAAAGTTTTATAAAATTTTTAACATGCACATACCAATTGATACATAAAAACAAAAAATTATGTTATTTTTCTTATTTTTTATTTTAAATATTTTTTCAAAATTTATATTTTATAATAATTAAAAAATTATACATATAATCAAATGATTAATAAAAAACATATCGTTCATAATGTAACATAAAAATTAACAAAAAAATATAATTATAATATATAAATACTATATATATATTAATTTTAATATTTTTTATCAAAATATATAACATAGCGTGAAAAATTAACAAAAAAATTTCTTTTTCTCCTTTTCATTATTTAATATCTATACGTTTATATATATATATATATATATACATAAATACATTTTTATTATACTTTCAATGCAAAACACGGGCTTTTATCCAGTAATTATAATGTCACATTCATCAACAGACCGTCAACAAAATCTCAATGGCAAACTCGTTCTCACTCTGCCACTTGTCAAATGTTAATTAGTGTGCTAAAGTGCCCTGTCATTGTTTTTGCTAAATCATTCTATCTTGCCACATGTCTCACTTAGATTGGTCAATATTTTTCAAGTGTAAACTCTATTTGTTGTATTTAAATTTTAAATTATTTTAAAACATTGGTAATTTAATAAATAAAAAATATACACTTTATATAAATACTTCTTCCGATCCATTTTCTAGGTCTATTTAATTTTCACGACATTTAACAAAAACATTTAATCTTAGTGTATGTTATATTAAAATTTAAATTTTTTTCTATTAAATTTGATTTTTAGGTTTTTAAAGAGCATATAGATTCAATTTATGAAAGAAAATTTATGCTACACAAGTTTTTTTATGATAAAATTATTTAAAATAATTACAGAATGAAAAAGATTATCATACTCTTGTTATGGTTTCATGAACAAAATATTAATTATAATTTAAGTTAATAGATAGTTTTATTTATGGTTAGAAAAAATTAAAAAATTCAAAATTAATTCAAAATTATAATATTCGATTTAATTTGGATTGCATTCAAATCAAATTTTTTCATTCAATTTGATTTGAATCAAATATTACTATTTTAATTTGGTATGGTACAATTTTCATATCATAAAATGAAAAAAAAAAAATTTCAAACTAAACCGAATTATATTTTTATTATTTTTTAAATAAAATTTAAATTCTTATAAAATAAAAATAATCATATATATTATATTATAACATACATGAAAACCTAATAAAATATGTCATATATAAGCCTATGTGGACAATTTTAGTGAATGACACATAAGATAATATTAATTAAATATTATTTTTAAAAGAATCAAATATCCAAAACTTTTAAATTAAATCATATTAAATATTCAAAATATTCAAATATTGTTCTGAATTTAAATATATTTTTATTTGGATATAACTAAATCCAATTATATAATGCTTAAAATAATAAAAAATCAAAACCTTTTTTATGTATGCCTCTCTTTAAATGTATTTTATAATAAATATTGATTTAAATTTAAATTTTATTTTAATTCGGATATATCTAAATCTATTTTTTAAATTTAAAATTTTCTATACATATGACATTTCTTGCTCTTACATGAAATCTGTGTATCCCTATATTATAAGTAACAATCTTCATAGTCTTTTTTTAAAAAAAAAAAAATTAGTTTCGTTTCAATCTCCATTCTTGAAGTGAAAAATCAATAATAAGAAATTCAAGTAATCTATTGATTTTCACTTGAATAATATTTTTTTATTTTTTATATGTTATTACATCTAATCTTTTTTGTTTTAGTGTTGTCTTTAATTTATAACAGGAAATGGTAACTTACGACGCTAAAGAAGTTGTTTATGGAAGAGTTTGGAGGTTCAACAAACTATTTTTTAAAAGTCTAGAAATAAATTTAGATGTGTTAACATTGAATTGCTTTATTAGTATTGATTTGAATTTTTTTTACACTTATATTTATATTTTTATAATTTGAAAATGTTATTGAATAAAGATTGGAATGATTAATCAAGTCTACTAGCTATGAATTTTTTTTCTCATGATCTTAACATATGCTTGATTTGTCTTTTCGTCATTTTGCATATATAGTGAGGTTGGTCATGTTTTAACAAAAATATTATAATATATACATATAACTAAAGAAGAGTGAGATTGCTTATGTTTTTTTTTTTTTTTTAATAATAAAAAACAGGCAGATATGAAAATGATTACAGAAATAGTAGTAGTTGAGATGGGCTACTGAGTCACATGGTGCGTCGTGGGCATAACGAGGTAGTTGCTCGTATAATAACAGCAGAGGAATCTTGCCGAGAGAGGAATGAGAGAAGTTTTTATCATTATTTGATTCTAAAGATGCGGATAGCTCTGAACTAAATTGTGATTACAAAAGGCAATGATATTTAAAAAAAAAAAAAAAAACCAAATCTTTTTCTGTCAACAGACATTGAACTGCATAGTTTTTCAATGGAATAATAGTTTTGTTTTTTGGAGTCATCAATTAAATGTTAATTGAATGATAATTTTATTATGACTAAGATCATAACGCATTTAAGGAGATAGGTATATTTTGACAGAACATGTATTTTTATTTTTTATTTTTATTGTAAAAGGGAATCAAAATGGTAAATTTAACTACCATTTCTATTCAAATTTGTCTTAATTTATTCACAATTATACATCACGCTTTTGTTTTCTATGTTAGTTTCTTTTTCTTTTTCGGTTTAATTAATTTTAATTAAATTTTATTGCTATTTTAATAGTTTTTATCAAGCATTGTCTAAATCTTGATTTTTTTTTTTATAAAAAAAATTTTGATCTATTGCTTAATTATCCATAATTGAACTACTTTCAACTATTAGCAGTAAAGTTTCGAATAAAGATTCTTGACTTTATAATTATTGATAGATTTTTAAAGGTCATAATTATTAAAATTTGGTCATATTACATAATCTTTATATATAGAAGGTAAACATATTAATATATATATATATATAATCGATACGTACTTAAATTCTTCTTTTTCGGTGTTTATTTAAAATTTGGGAATTTATTTCATGAATCAGTACTTAAATTTCATAAACTATTGAGTAATCACAAATTTTACCTAAAATCTCTAAAAAAAAATGTAAGCATCGGTTTTTTTTTTTTTAATTCCTACAAAAATAAGCATTGCATTTTATGGAATTTAACGATACTTGATACAAAATTTTGACATGCTATTTTTATGAGAAATGATAAAATCTTACGTGGTACAACATATAATTCTAAAAAATTTATGTGACAAGGAATTTTTTGAATGCAAACTCAGCAAATAAAAAAATCAAAAGAATTTTTAATGTTTTACCTACAAAAATTAAGCATCTAAAGAAAAGAAACTTGGTAGATCTTGTAAAAGTTTAGAGTGTTGAAGAGGAAAAAGGGAGCTGAGGTTTGAAAGGGAAGAGCTATGGGTGTTGAAGAGAAATCAAAGGGAGTTTGAAAGGGAGAAACTGAGGGTTGAAAGTGAAGAACCCACTGAGGGTTGAAAGGAGGAGCTAAGGGTAGAAAGGGAGGGTTATGGATTGTCATATGGAAGATATTGGCTTGTAAGAAACCCATTTTCTCAAACCTATTTTAAGTCCCCTAGAAATTCTTGATTAAATTCAGCCATAGAAGAGCCAAAATATACCATGGTTGACGTAAAAGAATAGCTCATGGTTTCTCCAACAAGCCAAAACCAAAACCATTGTTCAAGAACAGCCTATTTTTTCAAACCCATTTTCAATCCCCTTGAAAACCCACTTCCAAAACTTCCTTCCCAACATCTTTCCTCTCTGGAACAACCTTCTGCCAAAAATCTGTCTTTGAGTATCAGTTTTTATGGGTGGAGATGCAGGGCAAAGAATTGGTCCACATGGATTAAGAAAATGGCTATTTTACATGGATCGACTTGAAAGAAAGCTGGTATCCATGAAATCATCATGAATTCAGCTTACCAGATCAAGAGAAACAATGATTTGGTTATTGGTTTAGCTAAGAAATGGTGTTATAAGACCAAAAGTTCCATCTTTTCTTGGAGTGAAGCTAGTCTTATACTTGTAGATATCATGATTCTTAGAGGTTTCTTTGTTCTGGATTTAGAAACATTAAAGTTTCATTTACATTTTTTATTTGCTTAGTTGGGATTTAAAAAATTTCATGTAATACAATTTATTTAGACTATGTGTCATACAACGTAAAATTTATTGTAAAGTTAGATGATTCAGTTGATGAAGGGATCACGTTAATACACGTTTAGGCAATTGAAGATTCAATTATAATATTTTAAAATTTAGGAACTAATATAAAATTTAACATATAATTTAAGAACAACACGTGTTATTAATCTTTTAAAAAAAGATAAATCAAACAAAATTTATAAAATTTAATTCAAATCAATTTAATTTATTAAAAGATCAATTCAAATTTGGATAAAATTTTAAAATTTTATAATATTATGCATTAATAGAAATAACTAAATCAAATCCGATCGATCCATTATCACTTCTAACTTGATTTTTCTTAATGTAATAATTAATTAAAATTACATAAATTTTAAGTTTAAATATTAAAAAATATAAATTTAGATAATAACAAAAATACAATAAAGGAAAGATAGGAGTAAAAAGAAAACAACGCAAATGTAGTTACTGTTTTTTTTTTTTTTTTGTGTGAATTAAAGGAATTTCGAGTTTTGTGATAAAAAGAGTTGTTTTTCTTTGTCTCTTTTTTCGTGTGTAAAGTAAACATGTCTGCTTCCCTTCTCTTTCTACATTTCCTATTGGAAAATTAGGAATAATTAAAGGAGTGAGATTGTGTTCCTGTTCTGAAATTGCAGCTTTAATTCTGCTGATTTAATAGACTTTGACAAACTGCAATGATGTTATGCTTGAGCACAGATGTGAAGGAGCATGAATGACCAACATTTCAACGGCAGAGGCAAAGATAGCATATTTAATTGACATTGAAATTCATAATTCATTATTAACATAAGCATTCGTATTTATTTAGTAAATGCAAAGAAGCAGCAGAAACCACATTGCTACCTCAAATACAAGGGCAACCAAACCATCAATGGTACAACATGAAAATGCCAAGAAAGTTATACTAAGTCCCACTGAAAAACGTAGCTCTTTTCCTTTATACCATGGAAAGAGAACAACAACATTGCGAAGATGGGCCAGGTATGCCCTCATGGTTTCGACAGTATGGTGGTTTCTGCAATCATGGAAGTGACAACGTATGGATCCATGTTTGAAGCTGGCCTCCTGTCTTCAAAATACCCTTTTCCGGCTTTCTCAGTGTCCCGGCCAACACGAATGGATGCTCCGCGGTTTGCAACACCCTATCCAACAGTTGGAATGTAAACAACATTAGATCAGATACATATTTCAATTGCACACCAAAGAAATTAGACTGGTACAAAGAAGTCTATCATGAAGTAGTAACTACTTGAAAATAGAAATGCAAATAGAAAATGACAATGCCGACAAATTCATTCCGTAAGTGCATTAGACATGATAGTGATCAATGTAAACAATTTTCATGATGAACATCATCTGTACAAAAAAAGCAAAAGATAAGTCTTATGTAACATGTAAGAAGTGATTATATTTTACCCATGAGAAAGTGTTGATATCAGCAGTCTCATGTCGCCCGGTGAGACGGCGCTCATTGCCTTCACCATATGCTGAAATGTGTTCTTTGTGCCTTAGGCCAAGCTTTGCAATTGCTTTCTTGATAACCCCATAGCCTCCATCACATCTCATGGACTTTGTACTAAAACATCATGTGGACTTCATAATGAGGAAAAAAGAAAATAAAAGTTCTTCCATCAACTTCTTAAAATAAGATTAAAATGTACCTGTAATTTGTGTGAGCTCCGGCACCATTCCAGTCACCCTGGGATTAAACAACATAATTATGTCAATAACCGGAACATTAAAAAAAAAAAAAAACTGTAAGCTTAAGGTCCCTAGTTAATTTGGAGCAAAGCATGGAAAAGCTAATGGAACCAACAATTCTAACCTGAATTGGCTTAGGATCAAGGGAGAGCACCACTCCAGCAATCTCGGTAATTCTCTGTAATTGAGAAACAAAATTGTTTAGATCATAATAACAAGAGTGGAAGCAAACTCTTGATTATCTTAACTAAAACATGCTAGATTACCTCCAAAATGTAACGTGCAACCCACAACTCATCTCCAGCAGAGATGCCAACTGCTGGACCAACTTGAAATTCCCACTATAAAAGAATAAGAGAAGTTTTGCTTAACATAATCAATAATGGCTGAGAAACAATGAAGCAGCCCAAAAATCAGCTGCATAACTCTTAAAAAATAAACATAAAAGAATATATGCAGTCATTCTACCTGTCCTGGCATCACCTCTCCATTGATGCCACTGATATTGATTCCAGCATATAAACAAGCTTTGTAATGAGAATCCACAATGTCACGGCCGAAGGCTTTGTCGACACCAACACCACAATAATAAGGTCCCTGTCAAGAAACAACAAAAACATCATACCAGCCACTACTCCTCTAGAACAAAGAATTTAAAACCTCCAACATTTCCTGATAATCATGTAATTGGGAAAGCAAGTGCCAGTTAGAAAAAAGAGTATGTTATAAAACTGCTTTAAAGTTTCATAATATCTGAAAAAAATGGCATCACAAAAGAGCAATTACATGCTAGTGTGAATGCATGATGGTTTCTTTATTCCTATGAAGGCCAAAAGTTGGTTGACAAATAAACATAAGCCAGATAATTATGAGTGTAGCAATCAATGAATTATAGAGAACAACAAAGCAAATAAAATTCATTACTTGAGGTCCTGGGTAGCCACCGAGTGGCCATCCAATTGGCCATTTAACATCTTTCTGCAACAAGGTGTACTCCTGCTCAATTGCACACCTGTTCTCCCATATCAGATTGAAAGCAAATCAACACAAATATACAAAGCATAGATATTATATCACACAGTCTGAAATAGTTTAAAGATTTGGCTCTCTTCTTACCCCTAGGCCTCGTTCAATTTAACCAAACAAAAATGGAAGAATAACACGGCAATATATAGGAAATATACCAGGGTTCTTCTGCGACGACATCAGGATGGCTAAATATCTTTGCAGCGTTGTATCTTTTGTTTGTAGGAATTGGCTCACCAGCTGGAGTGTAAGCATCACACATGACCTAACTCAATCATCAAAGTTTAAAAAGTCAATTCCATGATATGAAAGTTAGCGGTCAATAATACATTTAAGTCCAAAGAAATTGGATAACAATCACAAAATATAGCAAGATGAAACAGAACTTACAAGAATATTGTTACCCCTTCTAAATGGATCTTTGAAGATAGCTTGAGGACTATTCCATGTAAACAAAAATACATCAACATCTAACAGGAAAGAATAAAAGGCTAAAGAACCAAAGATTCCAATTTCCGGTTTTCTTTTAAAAGAAAAAACATACTATAAGATTACTTCACTATCTTCTCCAGGGGCTTGACCAGTGCTGGAACCGTCATAATTCCACTTGGGAAGCTTTGAAGGATCGCTAACAGGTCCAGAAAGAGTCTTTATATAACAACAAGAACAGAAAAACATAAGCATTAAACGAAAGAACAAATAGCAGAAAAAACAAGTTGAAAAGAGACAAAATCAAATACCCTTGCTTTGCTTCTGAGGTCCATGCCAGATCCACCAATCCTATTCAATAATTTAAAAAAGCAAAAGCTTCCATTATTAACAAAGATCAAAAGCAAAGGAAAGTTGCCATGGAAATTACTTGTTAAGCTATTGAACAATCAACAAAGAAAAGCAAAGTATACCCATCGTTAGGCCAGGAGAAAGCAATCAACTGTAAAAGATAACAACATAAGATAACCAAAAAGAAAAAGGCAAACGACCCCCTTATCGACTGAAAAGAGAAACTTTCTCGATTATGTAAGCAAGTGAAACAGAGATTATGCAAAAAAACACTGAAAATGAAAATAAAAAACAAACCCATTGAAGGGAACACTGAGTTAAGACATATTTTGAAACCAAAGAAGCGTATATATTTATGAAATAGAAATTATATAGAAAATGATTTTGTCCAAAGGATGAGACAGGAGAGCAGAGACCGACCATATGTATTCAGCAATGATTTTGCCAGTGCAGTCTGAGAGATCAAGGTTAACTATAGCTGAAAGAAGCGACATATTCTTCGAAAGAATAGATTTTCTCTTTCACTTTCCCTCAGAAAGAACGAAGCAAAACTCAGACAGAGGTTGCCTTTTATAGTGCCATTGCTGCTTCTGTTGAGTTCACAACTTCAAAGCATTCTTAAAGCTTTACAATTGTTTTTATTTTTTTAGTACGTGTAATTTTTTAATTTTATACATTTTTTAATGTTATCCTACAAAAATGTCCCTGAATAATTTTTCTTTTTAAAAATGTTTATATTTTTAATAAATAAATAAATAATGATGTATTATTAGTATTAATAAAGTGTTCAAAAACTGGGTACTACTCGTAATTTCTGTTGCTGGTGGGAATCTAAATCAACAGTCGGAAAAGTCCAGCTTAATAGAGTTTAATTTACCGGCTAACTTGTTTAGCCTGTTTCCTTTATAGAAAAGTCCCTCCTTATTTGTTTATTTTTCTTTAATGAGTAGCAGTCTCGATGTAATCAAAGATAAATATACAATTTTTTTTATCAATTATTTGATTTATTAATAAAAAGTTAAAATTTTAATTTTAATGATTAAAATTTAATCTTAGATAATATCAAATATAATAATGTTTCAATAAAAGAATGTAATAATTCTTATTCTGATAGATGTCATTTTAAATTAAAATTAAGTTATATCCATAATGTAACTTAAATTTTATCAAATGAACTAATAAAGTACTAAAAAATTTTACCAAAAATTAAGAATATAGAAATTGATTTTTATTACATGAAATTATCGTAGTAAATTTTTATTTTCTTATAATAAGAATTTTGAAGAATAAATTTTATTTCTAATATTTAATTTTAGTTTCAGTTTAGTTCTTAATTTCTGAATTATTCCGATTAATTTCTTAATTTTTTAGACCAAAATTTTAACAAAAAAAAAAAGAATCAAAATTACGGCATTTTAAAAAGTTAAGAATTCAAATTAAACAATTTAAGGATTAGAGATTAAATTGAAACAAAAAAGTTGAGGATTATAAATGGAATTTATCGAAAATTTTACATTTTGTACAAAATATTTTGATATTTGATTAAAATATTTTTGTTTGGCGAGTGTAATTTATAAAAAATATTTATTTAAATTTATTTGAATGGATTAAATGATAAATATTTGAGAGAATTTTATTTTATTGAATTTTAATAATTAAAATTTAATAATTAATTTTTAAATTAAATGAATATAATTAAAATAAGATAAAAATTTAAAACTTTAATTTTATGTAATTAAGTATGGAAGACTTATTTTTACTTTTGTAATTTGAGTATTATCACTATGATAAAAAAAAAAAAAAATCTAAAATGATCTTGAAACGTAGTCTGTATTTGCAGGACTTGTTGTTTTTTTATTTAAGCTTAATGTGAATTCAACCGAATTTTTAATAAGCACGCATAGAAGTGGTAAACGCATTATATTTGTGTTTGGATTACAAATTTGTGACGTGTGATCATATGCAGCTTCAGTATGTCACTGGACCCTTATTTAACATTTTAAAAATTTTGTTAAGGCTCAAGCTAAATAGGCTTAAAATATCAAAATATTATTATTAATATTTTAAAATATATTTTAAAATTTAAAATTTAATTAATTAATTAATATTTCAAACCAACTTCAAACTTAAAAATTTTATCAAAACCGTGACTCAAATCGAATTAAGTTCGAGAGCTAAATGAATAATTTAATTTGTTCACAGGTCTAATCTTAGTTTAATGAAAAAAAAAAACCCTTGAAATTTTGAGAGATTTTTAATTTAAGTTTTAATATGTATTGTTTTAGTTTAATTTTATGTTAAATTTATTTAATTATATATTAATTTGTTAGTTAATTTGTGTATTCAATTTAATTCATTAAAATTTTATTTGAAGTTAATATTAATTATTATAGTTTTATTTTGAATTAGTAATTTCATTAAAAATAATAAATAAATATTAACAATATAAAAGAAATAGCAAGTTAGAGTAAATATGACAAATTTCTTGTTTACTTTTTCTTCCGTTTCGAAGGAGACATTATTTCAACATTTCTTTTCTAATAAAGAAAAATTTTAAAAAAGTACTGAAAATAACAGGCAACAGGAAAGCACGTTGTACGGCAATGGAAGATGCGTCCACAAACGTCATGCCTCCCCCGCGAATCGAAGGAAATAGTGAAAGTGGATCCTTAGTGGACCCAAAGCCACGTCATTCGAATAACTTCCAATCACATTTTTCAATTTTAAGCAACATTTTTCCTTTTAAAGAAAAAAGAATATTTTTTTGCCCAATTTGTTCAAAGGGGATAAAAGCTTTAGCTAAAAATTTAAACTTAGGACTTAACGTCGGGGATGCTATTCAATTAAAAATTAAATATATTATTTTAATTGAATTAAGATTAAAATATCAATTTATAATAATTTAAAATTTTTTAATGAGTATAAAATACACATACTATTAATTCTTTAATGGTAACACATGTCAAAAAAAAAAAAGATGATAAAAATTTTGACTAAAAATAAAAAGATAAAATGAAAATTTTTTATATCACTCTTATTTTTTTCATCTTCTCTTTTTAAGACTTTACTCTTTCTCCACTCTACGCAAGCTTTCAAATCTCTATTTTGTCTAAAACTTTCTTGCTTGTTTGCAAGAGATAGGAGAGTGAAGATATTCTTACAATAATGGCAATAACATAGTTGAGTTTTGACTAAAGTAAGTTTGATTTTACTTTATTAAACTAGCAATAATAATGTGAGCATCCAAATGTATGTTGTTTATAGCATCTACGATAACAACGTAAGATGAGAATCAATAATAAAATGATTAATTTGAATTTGGATCTTGATATGTCGAATGAAGCGAGGGAATTATGAGTTTGAAAAAAAATAAAGGATTTTGCCAAAATCATTGCAACCTTAATCTTGAAAATCTAATTTTCTTTTTAATAAATAAAAAAACTACTTTCATTTTCTTATCACAAAATTGAATTTTGGGATAATTTTTAAATTAAGTTTTGGTTCTTTTTTATATGAGTTATTTTTTTATGTCTCAAATTATTTGGTAACTATTTACTGGTGAGGATTATGGTGATAGCTTAGGTTAAATACATATATGATCCATGTATCTTAAAATGATTTTGATATTAGTATCTAAAATTTTTTTTTATTATATCGGTATCTGAACTTTCAAATCGTTATTATATTGATTTTTTATATTAACACCATTAAACAATTTTGCTAATGTAGCATGAACAATTAATAAGATTTTGACACGTGTTAAAAAAGTCTAATCAATACTATATCATCATTGTTATATCAGCATAAAAACAAAAATTTTTCAAAAAAATTTTAAAAAATTTTAAAAATTTTAAAAAATTAAAAAATCTAAAAAATTGAAAATAATTTTATGAAATTCTAAAAAATTCTAAAAATTCAAATAAAAATCTAAATATTCTAAAATTTTTTTGATATTCCCAAAATTTTTTTAAAAATTGTAAAAAAATGCAAAACAATCTAAAAACTATTTGAAAATTCTAACAAAATTTTGAAAATTAAAAAATTTCTAAACAATTTTTTGAAAATTGAAAAAAAATAAAAAATAGAAATTCTAAAAACTTTTAAAACTTTCAAAAATTTAAAAATTTAAAAAATTTTAAAATTCTAAAAAATTTTAAAATTTTTAAAATTTTTTTAAAATTTATTAAATTTTCAAAAATTTTAGAAAATTTTTAAAAAGTTAAAAAATAATTAAGGAACCTTGAAAATTTTTAAAACATTTTTATAAATTTTTCACAAATTTATGTATTTTATTTTTAAAAAAAATTTTAATTTTTATAAATTTTAATATTTTTTGAATTATTTTGAGTCTTTGAAAATTTTTTAGAATTTTTCAAAATTTTTAAAATTATGACAATTTTCATAATTTATAAAAATATTTCATAGTTTTATGTTTTATAAATTTAAAAATTTTTTCGAATTTTAACATTTTTTTAAAAAAATTTGGAATTTGAAAAAATTTTTAGTATTTTTTCTAATTTTTGAAATTAAAGAGTTTTATAAATTTTAAAAAATTTTAAAAAAATTTTAGAATTTTTTTTCAGAATTTTAAAAAAATTTTTAGAATTGTTTAGTAGATTTTTTATGTTTTAAAAATTTTTTAGAAAGTTTTAAAATTTGTGGAATTTTTTAAAAAAATTTTTAGAACATTTAAAAAATATTTTTAGAATTTTTATAATTTGTAGAATTTTTTATAATTTTTTTGAAATTACAAATTTTCTTATAAATTTTAAAAACTTTAAAATTTTTAGAAAAATTTTAAAAATTTTTTAATTTTTTAAAAATTTTTAAAAGGTTTTTTGTTGAGTTTTTTTTTTTAATTTTATTTTATGCTAATGTAACAATAATAATGTAACGGTTAATCTTTTGACATATTAATATTTTATTAGATATTAACATTATGTCAATAAAATTAACTAACAGTGTTAATATGAGATATCAATATAAAAACAATTTAAAAATTTAAATACTAATATAATAGAAGAATTCTTTAAATACTAATATAACAAAAATTTTAAAATTCAAAGATTAAATATATATTTAACCCTAAAAAAACTGTTCATATGTAATTTTTTCTTCTGTTTCAAAACACTTTTTTTTTTAACACAACATTTTTTTTTACCCATATACTAGCTGTGTATATTTCTATTTAAGTAAAAAAGGATTAATTTTGAGGGTTGGTGAAAATTATATAGGGATTAAAAACATTACTAATTACAAAACTACTGAAGTGACAGCAATTCAATTGAAATTTTAAAAATTAAATAAAATTATAATATTAATTAATTAAACAAAAAATTCGTATCTTTCAATTTTTATACAATATATGTTTTTTACAAAATTTACATCTTTTTTTTAAATACCCACTTTTTAAAATAAAACTATCAAGTATTTTTCTCTTTCAAAACAAGTTTTTTATTGTATCAAATAAAAAGTATCAAGTAAATTATCAAATAGGCTAAATAATTAAAGTAAAAGTATTGTCTAAGATCTATAATCCACATATATAATTTAATTATACATATGAAAGCACATATGTTGAAAA